TTCTATGATTCTATGATTTAAATAACAGCAAATGAAACCAGGAGTGCAGCACCCAAGTCATGCAGCCAGGGAGATATTTGGCTCCCTTGTTGAAGGGGGAGCCCAATTCCTTTAGTGTAAGATAAGGAAGAGCCGGTCCAGTTCAAGACCAGCTTCAGAGGAGAAGGGATACTAAGCAAAAGCCAGCAAGGTAACAGACTGGCTGCACACAGACTGACAATGCACTAACACGTCCTACAGCTGATGTACCGGCGGTGTCAAGCCACAGTGGGGAATTTTACCAAAGCCTGCAGATCTGCATTACAGTGCTATTTCACACCCTTTTCCTAAGGAAAAGATAATTTAGAAACTTTCTTCAAGCTTCTGCACTGCCACCCCTCGCCGTTCAAAGCCTGTGTATCGGCTACAGGAACCCTCGGAAGAAGCCACTAAAAACCCTGTTAACCTGAATGTGCTAGAGCTGCACGAATTCAGCATCCTTTAATCAAGCGCTCCCTATTAACAACTTGCACTGTTCATTCACACCCCCTCATTTAACGGGGTTAAGAAGTTGCTTTTTTAATAAATGGCAAAAATGATTGGGAATTGGATTTGGTCCCAGACACGTCTAGCAACTGTAATGCATTTATACAGAAGCATTCCTAATCCTATTAGTTGGCAAATATTAAATAGTTGGTTGACTGCCATGTAGGTAAAACAAAACCTTGATATTTCTTAAACACATGGTCTTTGTCAATTTTCTCTACTTACTGCTGAAATTCAGCAGACACAAACAACCTTCCTGGAAGCTTACAAGTTTATCACACTAGCTTTGTGCCAAGAGACTTTGCTCTCAAAAGGTCCCTGAGAATGAAAAAAAAAAAATAGTAGACTGCACAGAGATCCACAAACACCAAGACTGGGAACATATAATTAAAAACCTAACTAGAGCTAGCACTCAAAAATAAACGTACAAACAAAAAACCCTAATGGCTCTTTGAAATTCCTATTCAAGCTAGAAAATCTAGGCAGCGAAAACAGTAATTTCTGCAATTTCAAGCAAAAACAGTGAGCAAAGCACAAAGACACAGCTTCAAGTGCTTTCCCCTGAAATCCTACCAACAGGATGGGTAAAAAAAACACTTCAAATTAAGCCTAATGCAGTGCACACCAGTGTTTTCCATTTGAACCCCCGAATGCTCTGCGTTCTTTTTTCCCCATGTAAAAACTGGAATGTTTTCCTTTGTGCTTTAATTTCAGCTGTCTCCGTACACACCTCCAGCAGGTACTGTCGTGATGCTGCCTGGCAGAACCATGGACAACGGCCGGCCTTGCAACGAAAAGCCGGCGACAAAATAAAACCCCGTAACTAAGGATCCCTGAGAATTATTTTGACACAATTAAGGTGTTTTTTACACTAAGAACTGCGACGACGAGGAGCTGACAAGCCCAGTCACTGGACAAGCATGGCTGAAAGAGAGCAAAGCCCCAAGACACCTGGCTGGATTTCCACTAGAGGGTGCACAAAGCCCATCTGATGCAGCAAAGACCACTAGAGGGTGCACAAAGCCCATCTCATGCAGCAAAGATCAAGTCCGCCCTCCCCTCTCCAGGTACACAAGTTCTTCCAACAGGTAGCTGTTCCAAAATAGTTACAAGATGGTCAGCAAGCACACTTGTTATTCCTTTTTTTTTTTCCCCTGAGATGGTACACAACAATCCCAAATGCTTCCTACAAGGCAAACCAGAACATTACTCCTACTTAAGCAGCCAACTTTACGTACACGACGGTCAGCTTCTAACATCCCATGAGTGCCACGAGGTATTTCTCATGATTACCCTATTCCTATCAATTTCCTCAATTTATTCTCACTTACTCAAACCTGCAAGAAAACTTTCAACTACTTTGCACAGACCTTCACAGTCTCCACAGACACATTAAATCAAAGAACACTGCTAAAACAAAGCAAGCCAAAGAAACTGAAATAGTAATTGACTGAAAATAGCTTAAGACATGTAAGACTAAAGGTTCTGGTAGAGAACGCAACAGTGTACATGTGCTGCGTTCAGCATAATTAGCTCTCTACTTCACTTAATATATAGCAAAACAAATCCCTAAAACCAAGCATTTTCTTTAAACGTTAAACAAATAGTTGCAAAACAGGCACGTACCCAAGCTATCGGACTTTGGTGGTTATTTAAAAAACCCAATACCAGTATTGTGTGATATGCTGGATGAAAACAAGTAAACTTTACCATCTTGGAAGACTCTTTCCACATTGAGTCCGTAAGTAGCACAGGTTTCATAGTAAGTGCATCTCTTGAGATCATTCGATAACTTCCTCGCTCTGGCATCGTCTATGACACGTGGATTACTGGAACTTATAGCATCTACAGCAACAACAGGAAAAAATACACGATTAAATAACATTTGAAAACATCATTTTATAATTACTGAGACCCAAGCAGTGAATATAAACACAAACCATGAGACTTTCAGAATATTTAGGAAACAGGGATGCACATCACTGAATTTATACTTTGTTACTAAAATCACCAGCACATATTGATTCTGAAAACCAGGAAATACCTGAAATGTATTTTGGTTAACTTACACATATATATTTAGGTCACTAGTTGCAAAAAAATAGACCATCACATGAAAGATCTGAAGTAAGACAGAAACAAGTGAGTGACTGATCATTCTCAACATGTCAAATGATTTTTAGGCCTCCTGTAAGCACCAGCACAGACTTACAAGTAAGCCTGGCCTGTAGAGCATGAAGCGCAAAACATGACACCTTAGCAAGGACAACAACATTTTCGGTAAAGATGGGATGGAGGGAGAAACAGTACCAGGTATTACTGCAGCACTCAGGGAAAGTGTTGGATTTACACAGAAGAGATGCTTTTCTTTAAAAAAACCTAGCCAACACTAAGACAACTGCAGAAAACATCACGATGGCAGTTAAGACATAACATCACCGTACCAGACTGCCATTATCATGTTGCTAAAAATCTAGAGTTCAGTTCTTCCCTTAGTTCCCCAAGCAACTCTCCCTGCATGCTTGTTTTCGGTCCTTCCCACTGTTTAGGCTAGTTCCCTCTGTGTTTTGCTCAGGCACAGAGAGCCAACAGTGTGCGAGTGAGGCCGGGCCGGAAGGAAAGCACTCGGCTAAACCCCAACCCTGCACCAGCAGCACGCGCTAAGCCTCGGTCGAGGCAGATGCTCTCCAGTTTAACAGGGAACTGGGATTTTTCATGTAGTCACGCGTTGCGGACCTGGCTTCCAAGTCTCAGCCAAGACTGGATCCAGGAGACATGGTAAATGACTTTGAGTCTCAAGCCTTCATGTAGAGGCACCCATGAGGGACTGTGTGAACATACTGCACGGTCATTAAGGACTTATTTCTAAACAAGTATAATACTTCATACTGCTATGCAAGAGCTACTTTTCATGTGTGCTTTTGACCCCAATTTCTAGAGCTTTGCCATGTGAGCTGCAAAAAACCTTACACCAGATTAAAAACCCAACAACTCTGCTAACAGATGAAGTTTCTTCGATACTACTCCATCAGAGCAAAGAACTCAAAGGTTACACTGCTTGACTATTTATGAAGTCATAATGTTGTGAAGAAATGTTAAAATCCACTTTTTTTTTCCCCAGGAGTATCATGGTAAAACAAAAAGCTCTGGCAAAAAAAAAAACCCTAAGGTGAGACAGCCTTTACTTACTCTACACCTTGCCACCACGACAGGAGCTCATTTCAGCACGGAGAGCTGCTCAGAAAGTTTTCCTAAACATCTGCTCTTCTCCATGGCAGCAAAACTACATTCGTTCTTTGGAAAAAGAGCATCACTTCAGCGTGAGCGTGGAATCAGCGACTGTTACAGTGCTGCATTTCAGGCTCAGTTCCGAGCATGCCACGACCACATCCCAACTGAAGGTACTCCTACTTTCTCATGAGGTCTGATTAATAAAACCAGAGTGATTATTTGGAAAGCTAGCAACAGATATTTATTTTTTCATCAGGAGAGGGCGCTGAAAACATTTAACCAGAAAGGAAATGATAAGCAACACCACGGCTTCAAGAAAGTTTGACTTCTCAAGCCAATTCAGCACTACAGCCTGGCTCACCGCAGAACGAGGCAGCAGAGGAGAACATCTGGAAGCATCAGGCAATTGATAACATAGAGATATATTTAATTCCATGGCTCGTTTCAAGGATATCCATGAAAAACAGCAAGCTGGATGTCAAACAGGTTTATTCCAAATATACTTAAACAAGTATATTTATATAATTCCATATATCTCATTTCATTGCACAGTTTGGCAGCTGATGCAGTCAAAAACCTGTATTTTCTTCCAGTGTTTACCCCCAAAACTAGCAGTATCTTCAGTCACATTTTTATAAAAACAGCCTTTGCATCAGTGCTGCAACAGAAAACGAAGTCTGAAAAGCAAAATTACTTTCTGGTAGTAACTGGGAAGAGATGAAAAAACATACCCCAAAGTACTAGAAGTGCAGGAAAATAGCAGCACCTCAAGGAATCGTTTCCCCCTCCCATTTTTCAACACCAGTTTTAAGTTGACAGCGTGACCCTCCAGAGTGGTTCATTTCTGCTTTTTGGCTGTAGTTTCTGCCATGGTAGGGCTTTTTGCATGGCTACTTCCCTTTTCATTTTTTATCATCTGTTTCCGCCCTACAGCCAGGTTGCGTTTCTCCTCCCATGCTGCCCACGCTGCCCCTGCCGTCGCACAGCAGTGCTGGTGGCACGGCTCTGCAGGCAGGCGAAAGCCAACTCCCCTCTGACCAATAAGCTGGCAAAGGAGTACGCTGAGAAAGCAGCAGCTCTAAAGTAAGGAGTCTGAAGTCTGACTCCTCGGCAGGAACTCCTCATCTGTGCTAAGAGCTCTCACAGGAGGGACCCCTGCACGGCGAGGTGCACAGCAACCTCAACTCCTGCGTGTCTACTCCAAGCGGCAACCCAGCCGCAGGTGAGGGAAACCACCGGAACGCTGATGTGATGCACTGGCAAAACAAGATGGGGAATATCCAAGGAGACAGCTGAGATGCCAGAGAAGCTGAAATACTGCTAGTGCCTTTCCGCTGCTGCATTTCCCTGGAGGATAACTGAGGCTAGCTGCTGCTCCAGAAAGGGGTTTGGGAAAACAGAATTGTGGGGGGTTATTCCACAACCCACATTTCCATTTGGTTTGAAGAATATTATACCTCAGAGATCGGAGGAGGGCACGGTTCAGGTCTATTTCTCAACACAGAGAGAAGGTTTTTGATCCCTGATCCATCTGCCTCCTAGGAATGCCCAGGTACTGATCGCCGCTGGACTGCCGAGCTAAAGGAAACCAGTCTCACTTCAGGACTTCATTACACAACTGATTCGCCTGCCCAAGCCAAACATCAGTGTCCCCCTGCTGACCAGGAAAACCACCATCCCTGGCAAGCACTGAAAATACTTCCAAAAAATTCTTCAAAGTTGTCATCGCCAACGTCCTGCACTCCCTCTCCAGAGGGTGCCACAAGGACTTTTGTCTCCCATCTCAAACCAGTCTTCCCAATGCCACAGCCCGGTAGCGAGCCAGCCGAGGAAACCCAGATGGCAGAACACCACCCCCCCCATAAACCAGCAGTTTATCCACAAGCTCTCATCACCAGACAAGCAGCAGTGCTGGTGCAAAAGGGGTGAGAACACAGGACACGGCTTTGCCAGCTTGGAATAGTCTGTACGGACAGGGAAACACACTCATAGATCAAGGCTGCACTTACCCTGCGTTCCCACCAGTACCATTGGAATTTCACTAGTGTTGCGATAGTTAGCCATACGGCTGTAGTAGTGGTAAACAGTCTGGAAGCTAATTTCATCTTCCAAGCTGAAGACAAATATAACAGCATCCACCCACATGGCAAACTGCAGAATAAAAATGGAGAAAAGCATCCTGTGAGAAAAGCAGTGAAGAGGAAAAAAGGAGAAGAAACATTCTTACCTTACTCAGAGGAAAACACACATCAGAGAAACTTGGCTAGTGACAAAACCCAAGGCCTTTAAAGTGACCTGCCGTTTCTAAAATGATTCATGGACAATGGTTGCCCCACAAGCGATGGGGAGCTGGTATGCACAAAGGTTTTTCCCCACGCTCACAAACGCATCTCCTCTTCACTGGTGTACGATATTACAAACCCAACTGCTCTCAGTGCACAGTGGTTCTGATTCACAGAAAAAGAAAACATGGCAGCTTCAGATTTCTGAATTTGTGACTTAAATGAGTATCTCCAGGCACCAGAGTGCCCCGTTTAGTCCCCAACCTGGGCTTTACGTGTATGCATGCTGATGTTTGTTAACGCCCAGACAAATCTTACGGCTGTGGTTCGACAAGCACCACTAGTAACTCTCACACCTTCATCAACGTCCAAAAACATTAATTTCAAATGGCCAGTTCTTCACTACACAGCGACTCTGAGCAAACAGTACCGAGTGTCTCGTTCAGCTTTTAGTGTGAAAGCGAGCTAGCCTCTCTCGGCACCTGTAATGTGCTAACAGACATGCCCAAACACAGGCCAAGGCAAGGTGCTGCTTAAGTGGCCATGCAAGTGCAAACGTTTTAGCTCACGAGTAATGTAAGACTGTTGAGGCACATTTAACATAACATGAAACCTATACAGGACATCAGGAGAAGACTGAAGTTAAGCTTACCTCACTGCCTTTATTTTGCCCTAAGTGACTCCATTCCTACCCAAATTTAGATCAATGGAAACAAGTTTCAGCCACCGGTGTTCATACTTTGTGTTTTGCTACTACTACCACGGGCCAGGTAGGCCGGGGACACAGCAAACAGAGCTGCGAGGAGCTTCACGTGGGAACCGTTGTGCTGAGTTTCACACCGCCAGCCTAGGTCCGTAAGCACTCACTTCAGCCCTACCAAATCTTGCCGTTTGGTTTCTGCTCCTGCAGTTTTTAAACTGCTTCAGTCACTAGTTCGTAGGTTCACACGATCTCAGCTTTTTGTGAGCCAACCCCAGCTGGTGTATCCAATGGGAAGCGGAGAGTGGGAGTTTGGAAAGCTCTTTACGTACTGAAGTTGCTGAGCTCATGAAATCTTCCCTCAGAATCAAGATCTAGTAGCACTTCTTGCCTATTTTTCATATGGCAAATCAGCTGGTAATTTAAGTTAATGTGCATATTCGTGACCGTGTTGTACTGGAAACCAAACACTACCTCTTCTCTCACGGTTACGGTGTAAAAATAGCCAAAAAATATTTTGAGGTTTTCAACGCAGTCAGGAGGACCATCTCCTAGATGGTAACGACAGGACTGTCTACACGCAGCATCGTTACTGCCAGAATAAGGTCAACTACCACGCTATTAAATTTGAACTATTCAAACCACAAGATGTAACCAAAGGAACGGGAGACAGCGTCAGTGCTGTGGGTTTGGTTTTGGGTCTTATTACAAAATGGGTCTCACTGAGCGGACTCAGACGCATCATGCCAAGAACTCTTCCTTACAGCTACAATGCCCTAAAAGCATCAGTTTGGAAGCTCACAGCCTCTCTAAATTTTCTTCATGTTTCATCCGTGGGTAGCAGCAGCCTTCCGACAAAGGATATTTAAAAAAATCCAGAGGGTGGTTATTCAATGCAGTTCCTCCAGATATAAAAAGAGAAACAGGGAATTACTGGAAATATTTTGTATGAAAATAAGTTTAATGTTTGTGGATATCAGAGCTGTGATATTAAAAACCAAAAGAATTTTGGAAAACATGCACAAGGTCTGGAAACCCAGGACGCCTTAACCACACCACTGTGCAGGGAATGGCTTGGAAAAGGGAGGATCTCTCAGTTGCTGATACCCAAATCTACCTTCAGACTCGCTATCGTGATGGACCAGATCCGTTAGTTCGTGAGCCCAAACAAAACTAAAGTATGAAAACAAGTTCTAAATGTCCAACAAACTGCACGTGACAGCTCGTTACAGGTCAGTTGCTACATTAAGTGGGTTTTACAGCAGTAGGCCGCTGTGTCTGTAATAGATAATTGCAAGACTAAAATCAAACCTGGAGAGCAGAAGAAATGGTCAATATTCAAACTGAAGCTGTGCCAGGTGATGCACCTCACCCCTTGCTCGCCCTACGAAATGAGGGTGGAATTTTTCATCTTTGTTCAACCTTAGGTTTAGACACGAAAGTCTCGCAGAAAGCGAGTCTTCAGGTGGGCTGATTTTCTCTCCCTTCCTGCCAAACCACTGTAAGGGGAGAGCAAACAGACCTGAGCAGCAGCCTTTGAGCTGAAGCAAGGAAGCCATCGCCTGCCAGGGAGGCCGCAGTTCAGCTCGTTACTGCCTGAAGTCTTACTTCTATCCTGACTATCCACCAAAATATACTGCACTGCTGCAAAAAAGGAGAACCCTAAGGCTGTAATTACCAACCCTTCCTATATCCTAAGTAAATAGTGGGAGGTAAACATCTCTCTCCCGATAATGTTCCAATTTTCATTAAACAGATATAAATATTCATGAAACTTCTTAGTCCGGGAATTAACAAACACATGAAAGATCCTGAATATACGTGGGGCTTGAAATTACACCAAAAACCCCAAACAAAATTTACATGCAAAACAGGTCTTCTGGAGGTGAAACAGCACAAACACCTCAAACCTTCCCATACTTGTTACATGGGGAGGGACAAGCCTCGGCCACAATTCCTAGCGTAGATCCGAAGTAGACCACCGTGTCCGTTTATGAGTTTGCAGTCAGCGCGAACGAGCGCTGCAAAACCAATTCTTCAGGTACAAAACCATTTAGATTGCCGTCTGTACCCTGACAGCTACAGTACTTATGGTTTTATAGGAGGGAACGTTCCCTAAGCCTGAAGAACTTTGCACTTTGTGCCAAATTATTCACAGCCTCAAACAGAGCTGCTCTTTTAGGCCCCTGCCTCACACGGCTGCAGATGTGTCAGCGACACTAATTTTTTGTTTGTATTTTAACTTCCTTCCAGGATGTGTCTCTTGGTCTCCATTTCCTCCACCTCCTTCCTCTTCTCCTTTGTCCGGGCACCTTCCCCCGCGGCTCTAATCCTCCCGCAGCTAATGAGCAATAGTGGAGCATTGAAGCACAAGCTGCTCTGCTGGCACCGCTCCCCCTCAGCTGTTGGGCAATAGCAGCTCCAGCTGCTAGGTTCATTATTTTTTGAAGCTGATCCACCACTGAGCAGCCCAGCAAAGCAAGGCCAGCAGCAGAAACCCCCCGAGTGCCCAGGTAAGAGGAGGTGGAGGGGAGACAAGGATGCTGCCCGCAGCCAGGCTGGCAGAGCCTGCGCGAGTGAAGCGCCACGTAAGCAAACGCTTCGCTTCCCATCACTCAGAACAGGGTAAGCGAGTCAAGCACACAAACCCACCAGCGTCTTCTCGAAGGCAAAGCCTGACGAGTGACCTTCTGCCAGAACAGGAAGCACCATGCCAAATAGAGGAACCAAACCTGAGACCTCCGCGGTGCCGAGCTGGCACTCGCAGTCAACAGCACAGGGAACAAACCGTGGAAGCAACCGGGACCGCAAAGATTTGTACACGAGTGTGCGTGCCCCCGTGCCTACATCTACTTTGTATTTTAACAATTTAGAGCTGCGAACTCAGAAATCTTAATAACATGCAATTTCGTGGTCACTGGAAGCATATTCATTAGGCGTTCAACATAAACGAGCCACAGATCTTTACCACACAGTTTCATAATGCAATTGGAATCCCAAATAATTTCTGAACAGGCTATTTTCCACCTGAGGGCAATACGTAGTTGTTCCCAGCAGAGGATATAAATAAATGCTGCCTAGATCTGTTTCCCTTTCTAGTATTATCGCAGCGTCTTAAAAGGAGTGTTGTGATTAACCTTAGATTTTGGAGCCAGGAAAGTCCGTTCTCTTTAAGGAAGGTATTTTAGAAGAAAGAAAAGCGTGGTGTGAGGCTGATGAAGCTCTCTCTATGCAATGCTCACCTGTGCCTCCGGAGGGCCCCCTTCATCTCTAATCAGCAGCAGATAGCTTTGTCCATCAACTACTATCTCTTTCTTGAATCTCCCACCTGTCACACAAAGTAACTCGTTACAGAGCAGAAAAGGTAAAAAATACAAAACAGAAAAAGGCTTCGCTTGTGGAAAAAGGTGTCCTAAAGACCTTTCACAAATGCATGAACTACTGTGAATATAAGTTAAGTTTGGACATATAGAAATCAGTCACATACTTTAAGACTAATGTGGAAAAAGCCAACAGCTGCATTACAGGCACTAACTCCCATGTCAGGTGTACTTGTTTTGGGTTAAACCCAAGGTTTTGTACCAGGGTGAGAAATGTACCTCTAAAAGGCAAACATGGGACAGCGACGTACAACCAGTGTCATGGATTAGAACCGAAAGAAGTTTCCTGGGTGTGTTAACTTTTCCTCAAGGGAAGCCCAGTTCTCACAGCACACATGTAATGTTATGGAAATGATACTCTATATTCACAAACCACAGTTAGGGGAAAATACCAGACACATGTTAGACAAAAAAACTACAATGGCGGTACCTCTGCAGAGATGTACTAAACTCACAGGCAGTGTGGTGCCACTTACTAGCAGGATGAACTAAAGACCTGTTTTGGAGATCTAGATAAAAAGAGCAGAGTCAGAGCCTTCAGCCAAATTCTATTCCTGACCCTGTTGTTTCAGGGAGATGTAGAATATCGAGTGCTTGTGAAGACCACAAGCGGGTACCGAAGGGGCGTGAGGCAGGTCTCTCTCCACTGGCCTCCTGGGGACTTCAAGCATGACCCCAGGGCAGAATTGGGATTGCTTTCCTTTGTGGTTAAGCATATTTCAGGCACCCTGCTGTGTCTCATGAGGGACTTCAGATAACGACAGCTCACATTCAGGTTTCTGGCGTGACTGAGCCTAAGCCAGGATTAGTAAACTCTGCCTAAGTAGTTGGGTTGTATTTAGGTTCCTCGCCTGGAAGCAAAAGCACTCTTATCTCCCCACCTAAGCCACAAAGGCTTCCCATCATCCAACTGCCTCACATCTGACTTCCCTGACTAAGATAAAACATATCTACCAACACACGCTGAACTTATTTCTTTGCCCTTTACTTACTTTTTTTAAATGGAATTATTTCCTATTTGAACCCTATTTCCCAACTACGCTTGCTTCAAAACCATCCAAATCGATGCATTTAAACCTCTGACAGGGGAGTGAACAACTCTGACCTGTTCTCCAAACAAGCCCTTTAGGCAAGTCAGTCCCCTGCACAAAAACTGCCCGCCTCAGGGAAACGACAGACCGGCTCACACCTACCAGTCCCCCAGCCCAACCACCACAGCGGGTTTCAAACCAAGATCCCTCGAGAGCTCAGCTGCGTGCAAGAACATGTTTAAACCACACATTTCGTGTTTAATGAGTGACATCAGAACAGGGAGTTCTGTTTGCGGTTTTGTTGCTGGGTTTTTGTTCTTTTTATTCTCTTTACAAACCTACCCTCTTAGGAACAGCTTAGCAGCACCAAACACGCAACCACCAAGACGGTCACGTTTCTGGTTGTTTAATTACACAGGAGTAGCAGAGCTACCTATAGGTTTTCGTTATCTTGCTCACAAACTGGATTTCCATTTTGCCTTCGAAGGAAAAGGTGCAGATAAACATCTATCATTAATGAACTTGAACAATCAAAACCAAGCGTAAAACTTTGAAAGGAAACTAGCATCAGCTCTCAGGAACTGAATTTCCATTAAACCAGATCATTATTTCTACAGGTCGTCAATTAATCGTACATGCCTCAATCACGCGTTAAATAAGACTAATTACTTAATATACAGCCCCCCGGAGAGGCTCGTTAAAGCTGTAAGTAGCAATAGAAGCGCAGTATATACACGATCGAAGAGGGAAAGTTCTGTGTAACTGCCATTTCCCGTTTCCTTTTTTTAAACACTCAAAGTTCACACAGCTAATTAGAAAATACTGTGAACCGAACACACTGAAGAGTCAACTCGTTGCTCCCCCTTGCCAGCAGGATGCCTTTCAAGCCCCACTGTATCTTCAAACAGTCCTCAGAGGTATAAAGAAGGTACAGACAAGGTGAAATAAAGAGCTGAAGTAGAGGACTGGGAAAAAAATTCAAATCCATGGATGTTGTATTGAAACGTAGGTACACAGACCCCGAATGCGAGCACTGGGAGATTTACTCCTGAGAGCCAATTCATGGTCACTAAACATGTAGTCAGCAGGTTTTGTGCCCGATGTAACAAAGACGGTACAGACTTACCCAACAGCTCTCTCCCTATGCACATCCACATTAAGTGACCAGCTTATCTGCCTGTCCTTACCCACTCCAAAAATCACTGTGCTGGGTGCTCAGCAGAAGGAAACTGTGTTTTTATTTCCAACATTAAATTCAAATCTTGACAGC